ATGGAGTACAACATTGCTTTGGTTTGCAAGAAGCTTAGTAAATCCCAGAATAATTTTATGTTGACATTAAAATCACAGATATGGCTAGTTCTTTTAGTCACATTAAAATTTAGATGCATTACTGAAAATATGTCATATCCTGGAAGTTACGTGAAGGACACATATGTACACAAAACCTGAAATATGCTGGAGCTTAATAATGATTTCCAAATATTTGCAAACAAGATTAGATGGATGGGTGAACAGATGGATACATGGAAGGGTGGATGTGTGAATGGATGAATAAATAGTTCTCCTAGATACACAGCATGGATGAGTAAAATCTGATTTGTGTGGGAATGCTGTGATATAAGATTTCCTAGGTTATTCCAATCATGTGTTTTAGATCACATAATAAAAGTCAGGATTTTAGCCCTGTTCTGTGGAAGGTATACATAGATAGTGGAGGAGGACAAGGTTAAAACGTGTCAGTGTCTATCAAACTGAGAGATAACACTTATCCTAACAGCATCGTTTTTAGTGAAAATTCACTTTTTATGAACAGCAAAAAATAGAAGTCCTGATTCCTGTCAGCTCTTGTGAATTTCACACCTCAATCTGAATATTTGTTTCCATGTCTCAATTTTCACTACTTTTTCCCCTTCTTTGCTTTCCACTCCTCCATACTGCATCATCACTGCAATGAAGACTCACCCCACTCTGTTTATTTTTTTCAGGGATTATACCAATATTTTGTGGTAGCATCTTTTTGGTTATTGAGCACTAACTCATATCACCTCTCTTTTGAATTTTCTTTTATTTGCTCTATTAAGGTAGTAATATGCTCATAAACTGGAAAAAAATAGAAAGGGGGAGAAGTTTCAATATATGCTAGGAAACAGTAAAGTGGATGTGAAAATGGGATTTGGAAACTAGAATAAAGATTTGGATCATCTTTAAATTTCAATAGTTATAGGTTTTTGTTGTTGTTACTACTAATCAAGGGCAGATAAAAATTAGCTCTTACATGCAGTTTAAGCTCTACCTTTGCTTTCTTCTCCCATACCATTAAGAGGCCAATTGTCAGCTTCCTGGCTACTATAAGAATCGATATCATAGCATACTGGTTAAATACCATACCCAATCAGATTTAAAGCAATTAGTGGCATGGTGATTTGCAAAGTACTACATTATCTTCAGCAGAGTTCCTCAGCAATATAAACTAAACTTATATTAAAACATATTGGGAAGCAGAACTTTGGGAAACGTAAAAAAAGTCAGAGAGAAAATAAAAAGTTTCTTTGTAAAATATATTTCATAGCTATGAATTTTAATTTTCTTGCTTTTTGTTCTGTATTTGGGGGAAAAATCAAAGGAGGAAAGTAGTTAAAAAGAACTATAAAAAAAGAAAGAACTATAAAAATGTGACAAATTTAAATATGAACATCTGCATTCCACAGAAAAAAAGTGAGAGAAAAATTTGACAAACATTTCTTTTAACTCAGGATTTTTTATGAAGTGTTTGCACATTATCTCTCCAATTTCGAATATAAATTACAGAATAGCTAATGCATTCTTGTTATTGTGTAGTTTGTGTCATCTTATAATTCAAAAGTTGGAGCTTATTTTTTCCTTTCTTATAGAGGCTGATTCAAACAGGAAAATAACTCCTAAAAAATTCTAGATATAAAAAGCATACTCAATGCTTTGAATAAAATTGGACTGATGATCAATGCATAAAAATTGGCTGATCTTTAAGTATAATTCTTTGTTAGACTATAAAATAATTGTAGATGTTATATGTATTTATATACCTATATACTTTGTAAGAATACAGCTCTTATCTAGCAAATACTTTAGATATTGACTGAAAGAAAAATGGGATAAAAATGTGAAAGAAAAAAATAGTCTTTTCTGCACTTTTGAATATACTATTAAAGCCAAATGGTTTGGAAGAAACAAATCATAAGATGATGTTTGCTTCCCAGTTACATCAGAAAACCATAGAGTGAAGTGTCAAACTGGGAAAAAATGAAATTGGTGCTTGAATGTACCAGTTGTAACCAGAATTTGATGAATATAAACATATTCCCACTATCAAATCTTTATTTTCTTAATCAGTGACCTAGAAAACATTAAATTATAGGTTCTACGAAAAGTGTGGTGGGAAAAACAAACAAACAAACAAACAAAAAAACCTAAAACATCTGACTATCCTTCAGAGCTCTGACATGAAATTATCAGCATGTCAGACATGTTTATTTCATATATTAAACTTTAAAAAATAAAATTTTAGAATGTTCAAAAGAAAAAAAAAGGTGTCTATTCAAACAGGACACATTTTATTATCTGTGAGTTTGTTAATTGAGTGTGGTATTCTTGCGGTTGCCTTGGTGGGTTGGTGCCTGTGGTCTTGATCCGGTATCTAGAAGGGTTCAGAAATCTGGAGAAGGTGCTGTGCATAAATTAAATAAGAGTCCAGAGACGAAACATAATTTTGAAAGGCATTATAGGAAGTCAGAGAGGATTTAGCTAAAGGAACTAAGTTGTTTTTGTGTGTGTTTTTTTCATCTCAGGACCCCTTGCTTTTTATTAACACAATTTGTCCTAAGGCAAGGTGGAGATATACACTTCAAAGGGTAGGGTTAGGTACAGAATCCATTGTCAGATTGCAAGAATTTGCCTACGGCTGTTCAGGTGTTTGGCCAGTAGGAGGCAATAACATGTAGATTAAGATGCCCTGAGCTGTCCTGACTGGTTTGGCTCAGTGAATAGAGTGTCGGCCTGCGGACTGAAGGGTCCCAGGTTTGATTCCGGTCAAGGGCATGTACCATGTTGTGGGCACATTCCCAGTGGGGGGTGTGCAGGAGGCAGCTGATCGATGTTTCTCTCTCATCGATGTTTCTAACTCTCTATCCCTCTCCCTTCCTCTCTGTAAAAAATCAATAAAATATATTTATAGTCACTCAGTGTGTGCGTGCACTTCCGGGACGCCCTGCATTGTGCTTTTCAGGTTTGGGAAAATGCCCTCAGCCATTCCCAACAGGTGACAACATATGTGACTCAGCCTTTGTTGAGTCCCCAAGTTCCATCAACCTTTTGATGAAACTCTTGCAATTATGTCATGCTAGAATTGGCTTCCGGCAGGTTGGGGTATGATAAATGGGTGAAACCATTCCTCAGAGTTGATTCTCTCATATACGTTGAACAGTCACTCTGGGGTTCACTGTAGTTATACTGAAGAAAAATTCCATATATTCTTTAATCTCAGAGACTAGCTATAAAAATAATAAATGACAAAGCAAATAGATAATTATGAATTGTGATAAACACAGGAATATATGTGATAGAGACTTACAGAGCAGAGGTGGGGAGGTCTATATTTAGGTGTTGTGGTTTGAGAATGTCCCACTGAGTGGATACTAGTTAAGCTGAAACCTGGAAGACGACAAGAAGGCAAGGCAATCCAGGGGAAAGCAGAGTCCAGGCACAGTGGGCAGCTTGTCCACGAGTTACGAAGTAAGAATAAAGTTAGTGTTTGAAGACACGAAGGAAGTCAAAATGCCTGGAACAACTAGAGTTGCAAAGAGATCTAAAAAAAGCTCAGAGAAGGGCCAGATCTACTGTCTCTATTGGTCAGCAGTTTACTGTTGCTGCATAACAGATAGTCTCAGAGCTCTCAGGAGCAAAAAGTAAGGAGCATTTCTTTCTAATAGATATTAGCTCCACTGAGGTGTTTCTGCTTTGGGTTGGCAGTGGTGGTGACATGCTCCTATGTCTGTCTGAAACATGTACTTCTCATGGCACCAAGGGAAGCCCATCCTACAAGCACATTTTAAGACTTTGCACAATAAAGGTAGCATCACCTCAGTCCAACAAGTTAGATAGTGAGCTCTGAGGCAAGCAATGAAGAGAGAAAACTATAGTAAGAGCAACTTCAGATACACTGCAAAAAACAAGAACCATGTCTCATATCGTTGTAACATATAAGATGCTCCCCCCAAGCTTTCTGGCTTGAAAATGTCTAACTCCCAGTTCTGGCCTCTTTCCCTCTAATCACATTCTTAGATTTAATCTTCTCCACCCAGTTGCTGAGCTAATCCCATTTTTCCCAGAGGAGACCCACCCTTTTCCTCCTGGGAGGGACAGAAGATGCAATCTCTCCCTTTGCCCTCTAGGATGGCACTGTCTGTCCTCCAGCTGGTCTCCTTTTAAATCCTAAATTCAGCCAGAGAAGAGTCTTTCCATCTCTCTTCTTTCCAAGAAAAAACACCCATCTGTTACATGGCCCTGGGTTATTCACAGGGTTCCATTAGGATGGCCCACCACCACCCTACCCAGCCCTGACCCTGCTTCCCATGGAGATTCTTACCTGACCTCCCTCAGAGAAGCCTTGGGGTCTACAGGGACAGCCACATTCTCACTTGCCCACCCCTTAATCCCTGTGGAGCTCATGATCTGCTATGTTACATGACATAAAACCTCACTTGATGCATGGACACATTTCATTTGTTTTCTTTGGGGATGACACCAAATGGTGTCAGCTGTGGGTGCTGGCTGTTTTAACTGTGGATACATTTGAATTACTTTAATGTGGCCAAAGACCCCCAGCCACCATGCTCTCAGGTTGTGTTTTTTCCTGTTTAACATCAGGAACCCATTACACCTTCACTGTCCCACCCTGAGGATGACAACTGGAAGTCATCCGTCAATCACAGTCAGTGTCTGTGGAAGGAATCCATGAGCCAGTCCTCAACCCTGTCCCTCCCTAACTTTCTCTCAATCCATTAATCTGGAGAGAGAAAATAATCCCAATAAGATTAAGGGATGGAGACTGAGGGTTCTGATTGGATGTTAGATTTTGAGAAGTTATATAAAAACCTCAGGCACCAGAGGAGAGATTCAGAGTCCTCCAGCTCGGCAGTCAGTGCCCTGGTTCTCCACCAGGTCTGAGATCTGAGCCCCAGCCAACCCAGTCACAGCAGACGTTTCGGAAGGATTCCTTTCTGAGCACCTTGAAGATGAACATCCAGACCCCACCCACACTCCTGCAGCTGGCAGGACAGAGCCTGCTGAGGGACCAGGCCTCAGCCATCACAGCTCTGGAGTACCTGCCGGCTGCTCTCTTCCCGCCCCTGTTCATTCAGGCCTACCGCAGGAGAATCTGGGAGCCCCTGAAGGCGATGGTGCAGGCCTGGCCCTTCACTGTCCTCCGTCTGGGCTGCCTGTCAAAACCGGCCCCGGATGAGGTCTTAAAAGCCGTGTTGGATGGGCTTGACGTTCTGTTTGCCCAGGAGGTTCGGCCCAGGAGGTGGAAACTGCGGGTGCTGGATTTAAGGAAAACAGGTGACAACTTCTGGAGGATGTGGTGTGGAGACAGCACCCAGAATTGCTCACTGACGGGACCAGTGGCTGTGCACAGCTCCAGCCCCAACATGGAGCACCCCTTGGCTCCCTTGGAGGTGTTCCTAGACCTTAACTTCAATGAAAGGGACGGGGATGCATTTCTCATGTACATCCTCCAATGGGCCCAGCAGAGGGAAAGGTTGGTACACCTGTGCTGCAAGACCCTGAAGATTTCTGAGGTGCCCTTCCCGAGGGTCAGAAAGGTCCTGGATAGGGTGCAGCTGGACTGCATCCAGGAGGTGGAAGTGAACTGCACCTGGGACCTGCCCACCCTGGGGACGTTTGCTCTTTACCTGGGTCAGATGAGTAACCTGCAGAGACTCTCTCTCTCCTACATTCACATGTTGACAGAGGAGGAGTGGGAAGAGGAAGAGGAGGAGGAAGAGGATCAGAAGTGGGAGGATCAGGAGTGGGAAGAGGAAGAGGATTGGGACAGCAAACAGCAGGAGGAGCAGCGATCCTTTTCCCAATTCCTCTCTCAGATGCGCAGGCTGAGGCACCTCCGGGACCTCAACATGGACTCTCCCTCCTTCCTCAGAGGCCGTCTGGACCAGATGCTCAGGTGCCTGCAGACCCCCTTGGACAAACTCTCCATAACACATTGCCAGCGGCTGACGCATTCAGACCTGACACACCTGTTCCAGTGCCCGAACCTCAGGCAGCTGAAGTCCCTGGATCTATTTGGCCTCAGGCTTGCAGATTTTAGTCTTGAGCCCCTCCGAGCTCTGCTGGAGGCAGTGGCACCCACCCTCCAGGACCTGAGCCTGGATAACTGTGCGATGGTGGACTCCCAAGTCGAGGCCATCCTGCCTGTCCTAAGCTGCTGTCACCAGCTCAGAGACTTCACCATCTCTGATAACCCCCTCTCCATGGCCACCATAAAGAAGCTGTTTTGCCACACAGCTGTGCTGCCCAGTTTAGAGAGCATACTGTACCCCATCCCCCTGGAGTGTTACAGGACCCAGGGGACTGTGGATATGGAGAGACTTGCCCTGTTTTGGGATGACTTAGTGGCGATGCTGAAGGAGTTAGAACATCCCAACACCATCTGTCCTGGCACCAAGTACTGTCATTAATGTGGCAACAGTAAAATTTATGATGTGGAGTTTTCATGACGTGTAGCCATACTGTGCCCCTGTAATGACCCTGCTCAGTGGGAACACTCAGAAGAAGCTTTGTTCTGGTCCCTTGGAAGCTGTAATATAGAACCGGGTGCATTATGCAGGGGGCACCCACGTTCCAGATTCAAGCTCCTGTGAATGGGGAAAGGAAGGGACCAAGCCTGGGTCCACGATTACAGGGGCACATGCACTATCATTTAAAAAATAAAAAAGGGGGAATTTGCCGGAAGCCGGTCATTCCTTGCTGCTTGACACAGTCGCTGCAGGAAAGAAACATCTGCACAGCATATGTTTCAAGGGACCTGGCATATATAGCATACTGTTCTTAATATGTTTGCTCTCCTTAGCGCCATGTGTTTTAACCAAGGTCACCTCTCCGAGAGAGAAAGGTTGTTTCCCCAGGTAGGGATTTTTCCCTGAAGTTAGGGAGGGGATAAAACCCCTTAACTAAGTGCCAGGTGGGTAGTTAATCACTTTAACTACAAACAATCATGCTTAAGCTACATAATCTTTACTCCCTGGAATGAAGATAAGAAACGCCCTAACCTTTGCAATAGAAATTGACAGGATTAAAATCAACTGGTATAAATACAGATGTAACAAGACAATAAACACCAGAACTTCGCTGGAGATCCTGACCAGAACCTGGCTGGAGATCCTGGCTAGAGATCCTGGCTAGGCTGCTGATCAACTGAAGGCTATCTCTGTGTCATTCCTTCTTCGCCAATTCCGTCCACACCTTTGGGGGACCCCTGGACCTGCTGGGGTTGGACCCCAGAAATGGGACCTCAGTGACCAAGTGTCCTAGAATCAGAAATATGAATCTGAATTGGTTGGGGAGGGGAAGAGGTATTTGAGCTCCAGCTGCATTGGTAGTAGTTAATCCTGGGGTGGATGATTGTAAAGGAATGATCAGAAATAAAGACAATTTCAAAGGCCAAAAAAAAAAAAGATGCCCCCCCCCAAAAAAAAATGTATACACACTTTAACAGTTGATAGCTCACTTTTGAAAATGAAATGTGTTTTAATAAACACTGCTTTTATAATTATTCAAAATGTGTGTATACATTTTTTGGGACACCCTACATACTTATGACATGTGGCCTTATACTTAATAGTAACTCAAAATATAGTCTCAGGCAGTGATTTTCAACTGGTATGCCACAAGAGGCACACTGGAGTGCTGCAAGAATTATTAAAACATGGTTATTTAGTCAGCGGCACTGACCTCTTTTCCCTTAGACCAGTGGTTCTCAACCTGTGGGTCGCGACCCCTTTGGGGGTCAAACGACCCTTTCACAGGGGTCGCCTAAGACCAAATTTTCGATGGTCTTAGGAACTGAGACACCACTCCTCTATCCATCTCCAGGCGGGTCCGCCCACATGCAGATACGCCCACATACAAGTACCCCGCATATTAAAGGGTCACGGCATTAGGAAGGTTGAGAATCACTGCCTTAGACTGTCAAAAAAAACAGACAACTGCCAACAATAGCCATCTAATGTGATTGAATCAAAATTATGCCTTTATTTATTTTTGTCAGATCAGCAAATACTAGAGGCCTGGTGCATGAAATTTGTGCACAGGAAGGAGGGTGTCCCTCAGCCCAGCCTGCACCCTCTTGCAGTCCAGGACCCCTCGCTCCTTACCACCTACCTGCTCACTGCTCCTTACCTTTTAGCTCATTGCTCCTTAGCGCTGCCACGGAAGTGGGAGAGGCTCCCGCCACTGCCGCTGTGCTCACCAGCTATGAGCCCAGCTTCTGGCTGAGTGGTGCTCCCCTTGTGGGAGCTCACTGACCTCCAGGGGGCAGCTCCTGTGTTGAGTGTCTTCCCCCTGGTGATCAGTACGCATCATAGCAACCGGTCATTCTGGTCATTCTGCCGTAACAGTTGCTTAGGCTTTTATTATACAGATATTTGTTGTTGTTGTGCCACAGAATTTTAGTAATTAGTGTAGGTGTGCCATAATATAAAAGAGGTTAAAAATCACTGGTCTAAGGCATTGAAAAATAAGGAACATGTAATCCAAAATAATAATAGCATTGGTTTTTGTTATTTCCTTTACTAGTGGGAAAATTCCTAGGGTCTTTGTAGTGAAAGAAAATGGTTACTTGCGAGCTTTGGCTGCGCACAGTTGCCAAGTGTCAGTCATCTACACAAATATCATCAAACATAAGCAAAACAAATTTCAGTAGCTACTGGAAGAACAGCAGTTAGGTTATGTAAGTAACTTACTATGTGCTAAGCTGAGTAAATATGTATGAAGTACATTGATCAGTGTTAAGCACACACTATGTGTTATATTTAGCCTGTAAACTTATCCTTGTGATAACTGCAAATACAGAGAAATTGAAAAACCAAAATAATTTTGAGTGGGATGTAGCTGCTGACTGGGAACAATACAGATTAGAATCCCTAAGTATCTAACTCATGAGATGCATGACCAAGATATGTGATGGCATTGTATTCTATAATGTAGTGTTTTTGGCTTACTTGTATATATGTAGTTTATACTCAAACAGTTTCTCACAGCATAATAAAGAAGGTTTTTACACTTTAAATTCCCCCATGAAGATTATCTGAGATGGAAGGCTATTCAAGTTATATAATCCGTACTGTGACCCAAATGTATTTAAAAAAACACAAAAAACAAACCAACAAAAACACAAGAAAAACCTGCTGGGTTTCTGCAGTTAATTCTGGATGTTTGTGAAGCTCATTCCGCCTTGGGTGAAACGTTTAATGTAGAAAATGACATCTCTTGACAGTAATCAGTGGTATGAATGTCTCAAGGAGGTAGGTATCCTTTAGGGCAGTGAGCAGGAGCTGGGAATAATTAAATAAAGAAGGAAAATTCATCCAGGAATCAGAAAAGTTTTCCTGGAAATTTTAACAGAGATAGAACCGCAGGACCATGTGAATAATGAGTCATGGAGATTGTAAATAATGGCTGTTTCTCTAGTTTTGTAGACCTGTGATAGTATCCATTGTCATAGATTTTGTTTGTTCCTTTTTAATTAGTACTATAGTGGGTCATGGTTTTCATTTGACTATTGGACCACTCACATATTTAATTTATCTGCTATTCTAGAGAGTCAAACAATTAAACATTACATATTTTCTTGAAAATAAACATAATTTCCCCAGCTTTAAAGATTGATGCTTTATATTTAGCTACCAAACCCATAGGAAGAATTATTAAACCCAAAGAAGTTGGCATTTATTAATTTATATAATCTTATAACTGACCTATACCTATTGCTTTGTTCAGAAATAAAGCAGAGAGCTTTCTAAATAGCATTTTGTGTACACAATAGTCTATTATCAATTTAAATGTTTGTGGGCAACATTATTCTTCTAATGTGATTGAGCTATCTGCTGATAATCAAAGAATCCAACACATATTCTGCATTTTTATTTCCTAACATGAATAAATAAATACATTAGCTAGCAAATGTTAATGACCACTTACAATAAGTAGATTCACAGATAAAATCTGCATTAAAAGATCATTAGCACTGGGGATTGAATACAAAACTATGGAAATGAGTTCCAAACACTTAATTCTCTCATTCTATCTTCCCAGAGTTAGATACATACCTCAAGATATAAATGAACCCAAGACAATTTTAGTGGCATATGGGGTAACATATTTCTTTTTTGCATTTATAATTAGACACAGCGAGTCAGAGATCTCAGCCACAGTGCTGGTTTGAGCTCCTTGAACATTTCCTGAGCTTGCTCAATGATAGATCTCAGCCTTGGATGATTCCTCTACCAGATGTCATATGAACACATTACAAAGTACTATCGCTTGGCTTTCGGTTACAATCTGCCTTTGGTTTGGAATACTATGGTATATATTTTTTTATTTTTTTCTCTCTCTATCTTTGTCTCTCTTGATCTCTTTCCAACTCTCTTTTTGTCTCTCTCTCTGTCACTCTGTTTCCTGTTTTGATTAATTTTCTGAAACTACTAGTAGTCATTAGTACAGAATTACCTATAGTTGCTCACATATTCTGTCCGTTTTTTGTGAAATCCCTGCCACATTTCAGCTCTAGGTGACGCCATGGGCTGACAGAACTAGAGTGTACTTCCAAGGTCAAAGACCTGCAGCCATGGACAGGGATGCGCTCAGAAGGAAGGCAGGCCTCACTGCTGCCGCCCACCTCTCCCCAGGGCTCCCTGCCCCTTTTAGAGGAATGCATTCTCCTTGGATACTTTCTCTTCCTGATCCCCAATGTCCAGAGAATAGAAGCAGGGCCAACTAGATGCTCCCATTGGAGACTGTTTCTGGTAGACTAATGCATAGAAGCAGGAAATGTATTTGAATTTGAATCCTGGTGGTGGAGGGTGAGGACGTGCTGCTTGGAGCATCCCTAGGGTCCAGGGTGTGTCCGCAGCATTGTAATTAGACTCTGCCCACAGCATGATTCGATGGTAGTTTGAGCCTCTCAGCCTCCTTTGTAACCCATCTATTTTCCAAAGACTGCTTCTCAGGCCTCCTGTCAACATGAGTTTTCTTTATCCTCCAATTAATTTTTGTTTTGCCTATTTTAACGTCAGCTAACTACTATTGCTTGTATCTCAGAGACTTGACCAATATGATACACACTTCCACAATGGTCCTCTTATTTGGTAAACATTGTAATAACTCTGTACTATATGGGGAAAATGTTGTGAGTGCGTGGGTGAACAGGAGGAGAAGCCTAGGGACGAACAGATCAAAGTACATCGAGAACTTTCCTGGTCATGGTCACAGTGGAAATTGTAATATCCTCTGATAGCTCATATATTTTCAAAGTAAATTAGAAAATATCTTGATTTTCAGAGATATTACAATTAAATGGTTACTTTTCTAATTTTCTCACCAAAACACATTTTTATAAATTGCCTTTGTTTGGAATGATGAAAACTATAGTGGAGACTTTAGAAATGAGAATGGAAAATCA